GCTAATTAATGAAGGATGGGGCCCAATGGCTGGGGAGAGATGCTCAGGGTGGTGGGCGCTCAGGGCAGCGGGTGCTGCACAGCACTGGGTGCATTCAGCGTGGTGGCTTGGGGTGTTGATGGATTTATGCTTGCTGCTGAAATGCTAGGGGCGTATTATCAGCAAATTGAGTCAATACATAAGTAAACATGAAAATGGATGGCCACAGCACCGGCAATAAACAGCCAACCAGGCCAAGGGCAAGTCACGGCAGTGCCTGTCACCAAGGGTGATGGGGATGCTTGGGTTTTATTCCTCTGCAGCCGCTTATTTTTCAAAGCCCAGGGGATACAAATGCTTTGAGGGTATTTAAAAAGTGTGGGGCTAAGGGGAGTATTTAACTTGGGTCCCATGCACAGATTCTAAAAGGTATGCTCAGAAAACAGACTCTTCAGGGAGCTGCCAAGTGCTGCCAAGTCTCTCACTGGTACTGGGTTTTTTCGTGATATTTCTCCACTTCTTCACATCCCCAGTTTCTGGAAATGTGTTTATCTTAAGAACAGATGAGGATGTTTTCCTAGGAGGAATAAAAACCACAAAGACCCAGCGGGAACCCAGGGTAACAGTCATAACCTGTTTCCCTAATTTTTTGATCTCAGGAGGGGGCTTTTTTAGGTCTGGGCCCAGTGTGTGGTCATGGGTGAGCAGCAGCACTGGGGGATGCTCTGACCCATGCTGGGAGGAGAGACCCATCCTGGGAGGCTCTGCTGACCTCTCCCTCCTCCCTTTACCCCTGGTCACCATAAGCAGCAGGACATCATTTGGGGATATCACTCTGGGTGTTCCCATCTCTCCCAAAAGCAGCCCCGTGCAATGGGATGGGGGAAAATTTGTTTTTTAGGAGCCAGGAGCTGACTCAGACAGAGTTTGCTCTCAAAAGTCATCCCACCTCTTCCTAGCTGCCGATTTTCTTTTTTTTCTTTTTTCTTTTTTCTTTCTTTTTCTTTGAGCAAAGTAAACCAGCAGCGACTCACAGAGGAATCACAGTCCCTGCTGGTGGCACGACTGCTTCCTTGAGCCTTATCTTGAAGAAGCAGGCAGGCGGGTGGGAGCTCAAGGAGCAGTCGTTTCTACACCGAGCATCTTGCCTCCCTGAGTGACCCAGTGTAATCCAGAGGCTTTTATTTCCTTGTACAACACGATATCAGCAGCCGGCAGCTGGGCCCGGAGCAGGATAGCGATAGTAATCACCACCCCTAAAATCATCGCCCTGGCTGGGAAGGGAGCAGAGGATGTGGTGTCTCTATTAAATCAAACTCGTCTCAGATTAAGCGCTTTTCAATGCAATCCAATTAACTCTTAAATTGAATTGTAATGCTTTGGCTAATATACCCCCCCCAGCATGGTTTTCCCCCCCCAGCCCCGACACATGGGAAGGGAGTTCAGCTTTGGTTTAATCAGATAAAACCCCACTTATTTGCTGCCTTTCACCGGCTGGGGCAACCTGCCCAGGCGGGC